TCACATGCTTGGGGTTAGCCAGCAGTTGCCTCTTTGGGAATATAATATTATGGATAAGCTGTGTATTAGAGGACTCTGATTTTTCATTCTGCATGTGCTTTTAAAGTATTTACCTGTTTCTTGGAAGTTAACACCTCATGCAAAGCAATGGAATTTCGATGCCTTCTGTTAGCAAAAGGCCAATTCTGTAACACTGGAAAGATAAAAACTCACCTTCTATAGCACAGTGAAAGTGATGCCACTCTCAAATGCACATGCATGCTGATATTAGGTTTGTCTTGATTGAAGCTCACACATAATCGATACTTTTGCACTGATGTTGCTATGTGCATATTGACATGGCTATATTAATTTTGTTGCCTTCTCTTGTTTTGGCTTGTTTCATTTCATTTAGTGAAATACACAGTGCAGTAGACCCTGCTCTCCCTCCCTCCCCCCCCCCTCTTTTTAAGGCGCTCCAGCTGCATAGAGCCCCATCCACCCCTTCCCTTTTTTTGGAGAAATGGTAGTTCTCACTTGGCACACCTGTGTTTGCTTCACTAGCAACCAGCATTTTAAGAGAGGCAGTCGTTGTTCCATGATGAAGAAAAGTCATATGGATTTTATAGCAAACAGCCTGTTATTTACCTAGAGAATTGAAGCAGCCTGTTATTCAGGTGGAGAGGAAATTCAGCCTGCACGAATCTCTGGCTGATGTTTTGGCCATTTTAGAACAAAGAGAAGACTTTGTGAAATTTGAGTCAACATACCACAAAATACTGGTACGGTGTTTTTAGATCAATGCATTTTTGTAGTCTTGGAGAAGAAACTTCCTCTAAGATACTTTAATCTGTATTCTTGTGATTCAGCCTATATGGTATTCAGGATTCTAAATATTTATTGAGTTGACGTAGTCTTATGGTTCTCCTCAAACAAAAGGCTCACCAAATCACAGACCCTGCCAGTGTTTCCAAATTATCACTGAAGATGAGCTTCAGCAAGTGAGAAACTGGAGGTGACAAATAGGAGTGGCCGAGGGTAGTGCCAACTGCGTACATGTCTCTGCAACATAGGAATTGCACTCCCAGCTGCTTCTTGACTAGAGGTGGTGTTAGAGGGTGGAAGTAGAGCCCCATATCTTTCATTTGGAGTTCTAAATCCTTGGCGGCCATCTGCCCTACCACCATGCTGTCCAAGGGCACTTGCCCAAATAAAGGCACAGAGACCCTGATCTCTGTTGTCATCCACATGTACTTCATCTCCTGCTACCTCCTTGCAATCTTTCTATCTGAGATACTCTTCTCAATCAAATTCCTTCCTCTCCCCTGTCCATATTTTCCTCTCCCACATATGGTGTCCTTGGGAGATAGGCTCCCTCAAGGACACACTGACAAAGACTTTTGAACATAGGCAGTTCCATGCTATGTTGTTGTTGTTGTGTGTGGTTTTTTAAATTGTTTTGGTATTTCAAGCCTGAACACTGTTTTGCCTGTAAATTTCAAAAGAAGGGTACATCTTTGCACAGTCACTCATTTGGCTGTGTGAAGCACGAGTCAACATGAATGAACATTAACTTAATCTTAAACTGGGAAAGTATTTTTAAGTCAATGCATTTCCTTGATCTTGGAAAAAGCAGTTTCTCCCAAGGTTCTTGAATCTATATTCTTGCAAGTAAGCCAAAATGATAAGCAAGATGATAAGTAAGCAAATGGTAGGCATCATGAGTGGAGGTGGCTGGAGCTGGGGGGGTGGCGTCAAACTAGATGGTCTGGAGGCCCCTTCTGACTTGCTCTGTTTCTATGTTTCTTTTTATTGAGTGGATCTATTCTTATTCTTCTCTTCAAACAAAAAGACTTTGTACACAGTTTTTTAACATCAGTACAAGAATCCTGCTTGAAGGCTTACCACTGAAAGAGGAACAAGGAAGAGGGAAAAAATAATAGAGCTGGGAGAATGGCCGTGCCTTCCATTACACCTCCTCCATACAGCCTGCTCGAATGGCTGCTGGAGTGCAAAAACAGGGGAGGCTTGACCAGCCCAGGCAAGTTAGTAACTCCTTAGTAACCTGCATGCTTGAAGGAACGTTGTCCATGGGGTTGTGATGGGCCAAAAACCTGCATAGGATGAAAGCTCCAGGGCCCCCTCTCTGGTTGCCAGAGGCCCAGCACTGCTTTCTGAGGGCGGCGTATAGGACGAACTTTGCCCCGTAATGTCAGCTTCAGTGGCCAAAGTGGGGGATGGCACATCCCAGACAGGAGCTCAGCAGGCACAGTTGCATCCCACCCACTCCTTCGCTGGAGACCACTAATAAGGTGCAAAGGGATCTGGAGCTAACATTGCCGCAATTCCTCTCTGTGTTTTCTTGGCCCTCCCATGTCACTACTGCTGCTCATACCAGCACATTTTCTCTTTTTCCCCTTGGATTAGGTACAGTGCTAAAGGATTTAACTTAAAATATTTTTGGGGGGTGTGCTTGGAGGCTGCACTTCAAAATTCACCACTGTAGCACAAAGCACCACTGAGTGCAATGGAATCACCTCCCAGACCTGTGTATATGGGATTGCAGGCTTAGGGTAAAAGGCTATACATGCTTAGACAGATAAAAGTCCCAGAAATGCCAGCACGCCCCAATAGACATGCAGACAGGTTGAGTGATAGTCTGAGCTGGAGTCCATTTTTCCTATCTAAACATGCATAAAAGAGCTCTTCTGTGCGTCTTCTAACATACAGTGGTGAAACAACCAGCTTCTTGACTCTGCTGAAAGCCATTAGGGATTGTATATGATTTCCTGACTGATAGTAAAATCTTTTGTTATGAATGATTTATCTTGATCACATGATGCAGCTCTGGTATATATGTAGCGACTGCTCACCAGTCTTGGCAGGTGATTCAACTGCCAGGAAGAAAAATTGCATGACCGTGGAAAAGCTTACAGGTATTACCCTATTCATACAGCATTATGCTAGAAAAGGGGATTGTTTAAATAGCTGTTGTTTCTGGTTAGGATCTTCCAGACTCCTTTGTAGTGTTTGAAACCCCCCCCCCCCTAAGTAAATGGGCTCCTATTTTTAATGGGTGATTGCTTTTTAAACACAACACAAAATAGGAATGGAAGGGTGCTGCATTCTGCCTCACAGAACTTGATCCCTTTGATCTTTGTCATTGCCAGACCACAACCTCTGTACCATTTTGCTTCTTTTTATGCCAAATTGAGACTCTCAGTATTTATCAGAATATGACTGTCATGGCTTCATGAGTAAGGCATACATTGAAGTGGATCAGTGTGGGAAAGTATGACTAAAGCGTGAAATCAAGGACCTTGGAGCACTTAAACATTTTGAGTGAATTTTGCTGTTCTGTGAACTTTTTGCCATCCATGTATGTCTTTCTGCTTTTCTAGAATCTTGCACACCTTTCTTCTAATTATTTTTTTTTCCAAATTCAGTGCAAAATCTAGAAGCCTGAAGCCACAATTGCAAACTGGCTCTGGGTACAGCCCGGAGACAAAGGAAGGGGTGGTAAGGTGATGCTTTGGAAAAGACAGGGTTTGTCCTTGCCCACTGTTTCCAGTGGCAGTGGCTCCCATGCCCAGGTTTATTCTAAGCATTGATTATCCAGTGCAGTCCCCACATCTGTAATATGTGAATTTTTCTAATTGCATACAATGGAAAGATTAAAGGGCACAAATGCAGTTTTCACTGATTTTTTAATAACTGCAAAAAATGTGTCTAGCTACACATTAGAATATACCCTGTGAAATCCAAGCTGCTAGAAAGGGATAGAAACTCATTCTCATGCATGCACTCAGCATGCTTATCCCTTGACATCATTGAGGAAACATCTCCAGAGTGATTCAGACATTTTCAGTAGCCACCCATTTCTTCCTCAGTGGTAGTGGCAAATTCAAGCCAACTCATTCAGCTTCTCTCACTTTTTAGGAGACACTGTCTTTGGGTTTTGGAGTCTAAACCCTTGTGGCCCACTTCTTGTGCAACAGTGTTAAGATTGCTGCTCTTCATAATTTATAAAGCATTTTAATTTACTGAGTGATACACCCAGTTTAAAAGGGAAACTTGCAATCTATAATTAAAAGCCTATAATTATAAGTCTTGAGGCTGTATATGGGGGAGAGAGTTCCGCATTTCTAAGAATAATAATGTGGCTGTATAGTATGCGAAGTATGCCCCTTTGTCAAGAGTTTTGCATAGTCACACACCAAATATTTGCCACACTTGCATGTTTAAAGCACACATGGCAGTTTGAACAACAACAGAGAGAGAGAGAGACCATTTCCCAGTGACAAAATAATCTGATTTCCATGCAAAGGATGGTCTAAGCCGGGAAGCACCATCTGGTTCCTGTGTAGCAATAGAAGAAATGCACATTTCTTGCATTAAAAGAAGTTCTAGGAAGGCACCCTGAATTCTCAGGGAAGACAGACAACTGCACCCCTAGACCTCTAAGCAAACCTAATGGGACCTCTCCCTGCCATTGTGGCAGGTACAGAAAGAAATGTATTTCCACTCTCTTTGTTCTTTATTGTCCAAGTTCCTTTTAGGAGAAGTGTGGGCTTTCCCTAAGTCTTTACCTGCAGAAAAACTTACGGTAAGGAAAACTTACACATATTTACCTAATGGAATATCGAGTGCCAAGCCAATATTTTATCTTTGGCCTTTATTACTTCAAATAAACCAGGCAGAATTGCTGCAAAGCCTGCCAAGATTGATGGAGTAGGAGAGGTGACTAGGTCTGCAGGTGAAGCTTTTATGAGGATGCCTGCACTGGTATAGTAAAATAAACAGCTACAAAAGTTGACAGTGAATTAGAAGCAAGTTCTGTTGCATACTTCCTGGTCAGTGTGTATAAGCCTATGTTCTCCATTGATCAGATATTTTGCACAAGGATCAATATATGTATTATTCACCACCTTTACCTGAATATATTCATCTAAGATCAAATGCATTGTTAAAAATTAAATATATATGCATATATTGTGCAGATACAAAATACATGGGAGGAAATGGAGCCTAAAGATGAAATTGCCATTGTTGGGGTAGGATGCCATTTTCCTGGAGGTAAGTTTCCATAGCAGAAAGTTCAAGGGCAAGTATCCAGTGCAATGAAGTGGTTAGAGTGTTGGACTTGGGTTATGAGATATCCAGGTTCTGGTCCTCACTCCACCACAAAGCTCACTTGGTAACTTTGGGCCAGTCACTGACTCTTAGCTTAATCTACCTCTTAGGGTTGTTGTGAGGAGAAGATTGAAAGGAGAAGGAGCATTATGCAAGCTAACTTGGGTTCCTTTGAGGAAAAAGGCAGAAAGTAAATATAAATAAATAAAACAGGAATTATAATTAGTCAGAAATATAGGTTGGAAAGGGCTTCTGACTTGCAGTCCCTTTTCTATTTAAAGTTCTAAAGTAATTTCCGACGCCCCTTGCTTCATCAACTACCCTCCCATCTTCCTTTAGGCAATCCTGTTACTTGCATTCACAGTGATGAGCTTTCACTGGGGAAAGAAGAAACAATGGCCTGTTTCCTGACCCATCCCCTTTGTGTCAGCTGCATGCCACGTGATTTGCCTATTTACCCTTTGGTGTTGTCTGAACCCAGCAAGGTGCAAGGCAGGGGGAGGCTTCCAAACTACTCCAGAGCCCTAGGACAAGCCATGAATCCTGGGGAGGTTTCAAAGTCACCCCCTCCATGCACCTCACTGTGCTACAAGGGGAATTAGGCGGACGGTACTGTGTGTGGTCAGCTTCTGCGAGCATGGGAAAAGATCCACTGTGGCTTCTTTTCCTTGGCCCTTGTGTGAACCCAGCCAATGATTGCCTTTGCATGACTCAACAATCCTGGGATGGGCCTTTCAGGTACTTTTGGGCTGCCTGGACAATTCATGGCTTGCAGTAGGGTTGTTTTACCCATGGTGGGTTGTTGTGTCATCTGAACCTGGATGACATGATTCATTGTGGATCAAGCACTATTGCAAGTGAGCTCTTTGGCGAGAGTGGGGGGAAATCCCTGCCAAGCACCTGCCAGGCAGTACCTGTGGGTTGCCCAGGTTGAGAGAAGGTGGCTTGCTATTCACAATGGGCCATGCCTTGAACCCTTTGTGGAGCCTCCAGAATTTAACCCACACTGCATGGCTTCTGCCGCAGTGTGCGTTAATGTGTCAGCCAAACCTGCCCAGTGCCTCATGCTCTGAAAGTACGTGAGCACTGATGCAGATATGACCAATTGGAGTAGGGAGCCCTGGGAGGAAGGGAGTTTGGAGGCTTACTGGCAAAGTTTGGAAGGGAAGACTTGTCTTTTTATTCCTCCAATGACACCATCAGCACATCATTTTCAGGGTAAATTAAAAAATAGTCCTGCAAGCCCAGTTCCAAGTCTGAGTGGGAGAGTTTAATTAAACAAAGGACTTGTAGCCTTGAACTTACAAGTTAATGTTGCACATGCAGGAATACTAAATGGTTGAACACTGGAAAGCAAGGTCAGAAGGGGACTGAGCAAGACTTGTTGTTTAATATATCTGACTGTCAGCTTTTAAAAAAGGAAATTAAAAATACCAAATAAGATTTCCCCCTTTCCCCCTCATTGCCAGTACTGATGTAAGAGCGAATAAATGTTTAAATCTTGTTACAGGAGAAGGAATTGACAATTTCTGGAAAGTACTGATTGAAGGCAGAAACTGTACTGTGGACATACCTCCAGAAAGATTTAACATCAAGAAGTGGTATGATTCGGACACTAACAAACCAGGAAAAATATTCACAAGACATGCGGCTCTTCTTGATGAGTAAGTCTTTGCATTCATATTCAAAAATCATGTTGGATGAGGGATGTCAAATCCTTTTTGAGTCAGGAACCAAATTCCAGTTTTAGAAGAACATTGAGGGCTGCATTGCAGGAGTTGGTGGGGCTGCGTTCATAGGGAATGGCAAGGATAGAGACAGCCATGTGGACAGGCCAGAGGTAATTCTTCCTAATTTGGACATTTTCCTGCCACGCATACTAAGTCACAGCTAGAAATGATATAGCTTGGTCATTTCATCCCTACTCATTCATATTCCTTAGGCACAGACATTTTTCAAAATGTTCCTTTCAGATTCAACAGATTTGACAACAAGCTGTTTGGTATTAATGATATGGAAGCAGACCGTATGGATCCCCAGCAGAAACTTCTACTGGAGTGCGCCTACAAAGCTCTGGAGGATGCAGGAATCCCCACAGAGGAAATTGGTGGCACCAGAACTGGGGTCTTCGTTGGTGAGTTAATCTCAATTAGTTAAATCTGATTTACATGATTGCATAATTATCATGCTTTGAGAATTATAAAAACACTTTTCCTTTATGTTTTAGCTATTCAGAGTCATTAGATGGTCGAAGCATTGGATGTAATAGGTTCTAACACCATGTCTGACATGGTGATGGGTGAATTCCCCTTAGCTCAATTCAGTCAGCACTGGGTTCAGTCAGCACTGGGTTCACCAAATTAAGCTGCTTTCTGAAATCTGGAATCTTGATGTTCTCCTTCCATCCCACAAACCTCCAATTCCAGATTAGATTCTGCTCACATTTGTGATCTTCTAATGTGCATGATTGAGTCTAATCTCGTCCCCTATAAAACTTACCCAGTCCTCTGCAACCTGTCCATTTGCCCCTTTCAGAACATGGAAGAGGGTAAAATGAAGTTAAATAATTTTACTGACTTAGTGACTTAAAGCAGCTTTCCCTAATCTGGTGCTGTCTGGACGTCTCAGAGTATATTTCCCAGAGCGCTTGCCACTCTTTGTGTAAAGCAAGAGAAGCCAGGGCATAGGAGAAGGAAAGGCTAATCCTTGTCCTATGTGCCATTTCCTCCCTGAAAATCGACTCCCCACCTATGTGTCCTGATTTGTTTGTTTATTTGTCATTGGGCCATATAGCACCACTGACAGGGAAGGAAAATAATGGGGAAAGGATTAAATCTCTTGTTTTCCCACATGATTCCTACTTTTTGCAAAGAGTTTAGTCAGCTGCAAGGACATGACCTAAACCTGTGCCTAGAGCACAAATGTGTGGCCTACCAACATCATCTGGGAAGCTGTAAGAGTCTTCAGCATCTGAGTACCAAGGTTCCCTCACCTCAGTGCTTGGATTCTGCAGGCTGAGTCCCTGCCCTGCCCTCTTGCAGTCTCCAGATCACTACTGGGCCTTGGAGAGGGAAAAAGGAGGTTTCTCTGGGTGAGAAGGGCAGCAGGCTGGGGCCACAGGCACCCACCAGTTCCAGTCTGCAGCTCAGCCTCCTTCCCTCCACCTTGCTGGCCCTACAACTGGACAGCCAAAAAGAGCTGTCTGGAGAAAATGCTCAGTGCAAGGTGCAGCAGCAACAGGGCTCATGGCCTCCATTCTTCATTCCTGGTGTAGGATGCGTATGCAGACCTCAGTTCAGAGGCTTACATGCATCTGTCATGGGGAAAAGAGTACTGCACCTTTAAAAGAACACTTTAGAATATTTCCAGTAGCAAGTCTACTATAAAGAGTGCAATGTATCAAATGCTAACAACATTTGTGTGAATTTGACTTTGCCATCTCATGTGAGCATGAAGATCATCTTGTCTGTTTACAGGTGTGATGAATCATGACCATAAGGTTTTACTCAGCCAGTCAGCAGAAGAAATAACCCATTATGATGGTACAGGGGTAGCAGTGAGCATTGCTGCGAACCGGATTTCATACACATTTAATCTGACTGGACCATCGGTTGCCCTAGACACAGCCTGCTCCTCTTTTTTGTATGCATTGCATTATGCCTTGCATGCAATCAGACAAGGTATGAGATTTCTAAACTAAGGGAGTCTGCTGCAATTTAATATTTCTGGGCCAAATATTCATAGAAGTAAATTTTTACTTCTCCACAAGGGATAGAAATGAGACTTACTTGCTGTTTGTTTATAAAATGATGTATAAAGACATTTACTCAAAGATGGAATATAGTGTTGAAGCATGCCGTTCATATCCTACGTCAGTTTGAACAAAACAAGACAGGGTTCACACCTCCCCGCCTGTCCCAGTCCACTTTGCTTTCCATTCCTGCCCCTTCCCTTGGCTTTCTGTTATTCCACCCACTCCCTGGAGAGTCGTCCTTGAATGCCTGTTGTGACCATGCTCAGTTCTCTTTGGATTGCTCTCCTTCATGATTAACTTTCCTGAAGATTTTTCATATTGCAGATTTTGGGATTCTTTGAAGTCTGCTGATTACTTCCTTTACTTTGGTGGTGATCTTTATTTATCCAAAATGGCATCACCCACTCAAATCAACATTGAAATTCGCTAATAGAGGGAATAAACATAATATTGGAAAGATAATGGTATAAGTGTGTGTGTGTGTAAAATACAGAATGGCTGCAAATTGGAATTAATTTTATTTTACTACAGGTGACTGTGAAGCAGCATTATGTGGTGGCGTGAACTGCATCATAGATCCCCACATATTTGTTTCCCTTTGCAAAGCAAAAATGATCTCCCCAGATGGGATGAGCAAGCCCTTTTCTAAAAAGGCTGATGGCTATGGAAGAGGAGAGGGCTGTGGTGTCCTTTTACTGAAGCCATTAAAAAAGGTACCGCAATGATTAAAGACCCGCAATAATAACTGATGAAAAGTCAGGTCAAAATTACTAAAGAGGTGTTTGGCTTCAGTTGGTCAGTGTTTTCTAAGTCAGCAGCAAAAGGATTGGGGCCTGGGGCCTTCCTGCTTGTGTGACTGCAGGAAGTCCAAGTAGTGGAGCATCTTAGGCTTCGTCTAAAACTTTTTGGACAGTGCAGGACTCCTAAACTGCAGAACGGTCCTCCTAGCAGAAGCCACTTCTGCAGCTAGACCAGTCCCATCTAGACAGCATCTAGAGCAGTGGTTTTCAACCGCTGGTCCACGGACCGGCTTCGGTCTGCAGCATCTCCTGCCGGTCGGTGAAAGAGCCACTGTCAGGGCATCTCATTTGCTGCAGACCAGTGCGGGCTCTCGCTGCAGATTCCTCCCCGTGGAGGGGAGAGGCAGCTCAGTGGGACCCAGCCAGGGTTCGCGCCACGCCGGGTCCGCCCTCGGGGTGGGGACCCAAGATGGGGCCTTTTCCTTCCTCTGCTGTGTTTTCTGCTGGGAAGGGATACACGGAGGCAAGATTGTGCTGAGAGTGTTTTCTCAGCCAGTCCCTGCTGGTGTGTATGAGGCTCTGGGGTGTGGGGGGGTGACATTGTATTTCAATATTTAACATTATGAATATTATTGTATTAAGTAACTTCATTTGATTTGTATTGCTCTGCTGCTAATACTGCATTTGATTTTATATTTGCTATAAGTATAGCCTTAGCTTTTATACTGATTTCGTACTTTGCTATTGTAAATTTTTGAACAAGTATTCTTGAAGCAACAGCAGATTTCACAGTAGCCTTATTTGAATTACATATTGCTCTCTAAAAATTTAAGTTGTATTCGATTACATTTCAATAATTTATTCTTTTATTAGCATTTTTACTGCTCATTTCTGGTTATTTTAGAGAATTTTCATTTTTGGTACTATATTTAAAAACTAATACACAAAATACTTTATTATGTATATAATGCTTTTTATTGCTGCCTCAGCGGTCCCCAAAATAATCTTCCTATTTTTGCTGGTGCCCAGCTGTAAAAAGGTTGAAAACCACTGATCCAGAGGATCATATGATTTTTCAGTGTCTCAGCTCTGACACTGGAAAACATCTCTGGTAGTGGAAGTGCCCTTATGCCTTGCAGCCAGCACCGGAAGAGCCATGCCAGCTGCTTCTCTGAAGTCACCTTGCCCTCCTTTTCCCCTGCTCCAAAGTGCCATGCTCAGGCAGCTGAAATCAGCCATCAAGTTGCCTTGAAGGATGCAAAAAGCACAGGGACAGCTTTCGCCTCCACACTCCTCCCACTGTGCATAGGGTGCTCCTAATCCTCTGGGATAGGAGGGCATCCCCTTAGGATTGTGCCCCAAAGGGACAAAAGTAGAATCATAGAATATTAGAGTTGGAAGGGGCCCTGAAGGTCATTGGGTCCAACTCCCTGCTGTTGCAGGACACCAGTTTACACCATCCCACTCAGATGACTGTCCAGTCTCTAGTGAGGGAGAGCCCACCACCATTCCAGGCAGCTTGTTCCACTGTCATATGGCTCTGACAGTGAGGAAGCTTTTCCTGATATGCAGCCTGAATCTAGGTTGTCGCACCTTGAATTGATTATTCCGTGTCCTACATTCTGGCATCAGCAAGAAGAGATCTTGACCTTTCTCTTTGTGACAGCCTTTGAGGTTCTTTTAGAGGGATATCATGTCCCCCCCTCAGTCTTCTCTTCTCAAGGCAGAACATGCCCATTTCTCTCACATTGTCATAATTTCATTTTGCTAGTTTTTATGAGAAACACATGTATTCATTAAATGGACTAAATAGTCACTGGTGTGCTTTCAAATCACAAGAATTGTAAGAATCTCGCAACCTATAAACAGCCTAGAACTACAAGTACAAGGCAACAGTGGGTTCAGTCCACTGAAAACCCCGAGAGCATGCAGTCACATTGACTTTTCCTATGTAAAAAGCATGTTATTGGGTGATGCAGGCTAATTAGGGAGCTAATCCAGGTATTCTCCACTGGGAGTGAATTACCTGATGTGGGTTGCATCATCTTGACCCCCTGCATACATCTCACTGTCCCAGGTCCTGTTGCAGTAAAGGACAGGCTACAAGAATGGTCCTCTAGTGTTTTGTCATGTTGAGCATCCAGAGATGCTCTAGGAATGAGGCTTCTATTTTGTATTTATTTAACCCCTGTACCACTGAATAGTATTTAGTACCTTTGCTATTTTTTTTCATGCCTCGATTAACCCATTTCCATCCAAAACCAGGCACAAGAAGACTTCAACAAAATATGGGGTATCATCTGCACCAGTGCGGTCAACCAGGTTGGAAGATACGTCACTCCGATCACCAAGCCATCTCAGCAGCAACAGGAGAACTTACTGTGTGGCATTTATCCAGCTCATGTTGACCCATCTACTGTTCAGTATGTTGAAGCACATGGCACAGGAACCCCTGTAGGGGACCCTGTTGAGGCAGAGAGCATAGGCAATGCCATTGGCAAAAAGAGGTCTCCGAATCTGCCTCCTCTCAAGATTGGGTCTGTCAAAGGGAACATTGGACACACTGAATCAGCTGCTGGGGCAGCAGGAATAATCAAGGTTCTTCTCATGATGCACCATGGAAAGATTGTGCCGTCCTTGCACTATTCAGAAAGCAATAGCAGCATCAGTACAGAGAAGCTAAACCTCTCCATCCCAACAACAGTGGAAAAGTGGGATGAGTCCCATGAATTTGGCAGAGTAGCTGGGATCAACTGTTTTGGATTTGGAGGCACCAATGCTCATGTGGTTGTCAGACAGGCAAAGCAAACCCAGCTTCTCCCTTCAGTCCACAGGCCCGTCGAGCTCTTTGTAATCTCTGCAGCTTCAGGTAATTCTCTCAAACTATCAATGGAAGACACAGCTAGATATTTAAATACAGGTGGCTCAGCAACACTCCCAAATCTGGCCTACACATCTGCATGTAGAAGAAGCCACATAAAGTACAAATACAGGCAAGCATTTGTGGTGTCCTCTCTGCAGCGCTTAGAACAACAACTTCTTTCTGCAGCTGAAACAGAAACGGTTCCATCAAAGAAACCTATACAGCTGATTTTTGTGTTCCCTGGAAATGGCCTGAAGTTGAAAGGGATATTTAGGACCTTGCTGAAATCTGAGCCAGTGTTTAGAGACAAATGTAAAGAAATAGAACAACTCTTTCAGAAATATTCCTCCAATGGCATTTTAGAATTAAGTGAAAGCGAACATGTGGATCTGTCAAATCCTGAGATAGCCCAGCCCCTGCTCTTCACACTGCAGGTGGCCTTGGTTACTCTTCTGCAGTACTGGGGGATAAAGCCGATTGCAGCGGTTGGCCATTCGGTTGGTGAGGCGGCGGCTGCCCATTGCGCTGGCCTGCTTTCCCTGGAAGATGCTGTCAAAGTCGTCCATCACAGGAGCCGGCTTCAGGCTAAGGTCTCTGGAGGCAAAATGCTGGTGGTTGGGAACATCCCTGTTGAAGAAGTGTCCGTGGCCCTGAGTGCATATTCAGGAAAAGTCTGTGTGGCGGCATTCAACAGTCCTCAGTCTTGCACACTGTCAGGAGATGAAGAGGCTATCAGTGCTGCTCAGAAGCATCTAGCAGAAAACTTTAAGAAAAGAAATATCTTTCTTCATCTTTTAAATGTGCCAGTTGCATATCACAGCCACATGATGGAGCCAGTGCTGCAAGAGATAAAAGAATATCTCACAGAACTGAAAAAGGGGAAGCCAGAAATCGACCTCATTTCTACAGCAACAGGGAAAGCTGCTTCAGAAGATGATTTTGTCACAGGGACCTACTGGGCCAGGCAGGTGCGGGACCCTGTTTCTTTTGCAGAGGCCATACGGACTTCAGTGAAAGGCAAGGAAAATGCCTTGTTTGTAGAAATCGGGCCCCAGAGAGCATTGCAGAGATACATAAATGAAATATTAGGGACTCAGGTTAAAGTGTTTTCCTCCATGCAAGTTGACAAAGAGTATGAGGCGCTTTTTACACTTATGAAAGGCCTTTTTGAACTGGGATTCAATCTGGATTGGCAACACCTATATGAGGGATATCAGGGACCACCAGCAGACTATCCCAGATATTGTTTCGATCATAAGAGGCCTGGGCACACTATTAAATTCATCCAACAGCAAAAGCAAGAAGCTGCAAGTTTAAACCATCCTCTCATTCCCAAGGGTAACCATGGCAATACAGAATTCAAGAATTGTATATCTCATTCAGCAACTGCATATCTGTATGAGCACAAGCACAAAGGGATTGTTCTGGTTCCGGGTGCCTATTTTGCGCAACTCGCTTTGGCAGCTGTGATGGAAGTCTCAAAAACAAAAGTGCCCTTAACATTGTGGCAGCTGAACATCAAATTTACCTCACCTTGTGTTTTAAGTAAAGATTCTCATGATCTGGATGTGAAAATGGAATTGCAAGAAGAAGCTGCAGCTTTCAAAATACTGTCCCCATCAGGTGCCATTCATGCCTCTGGCCAAGTCACGAAGAACACAGAACTTTCTCTTGAAGAAACGAGCATTTCCTATAAGGACATTTTTCTTCGGTGTAAATCTGTCATAAGCAGAGATGAATTATATGAAATACTGTCTGCTAGTGGATTTCAGTATGGTCCGGTGTTCAAGCAGCTCAGTGATGTCTTTTATTGTGAAGAGCTGAAAGAAGCAATTACCACCATGAATGTGAAGAAGCAGACCACAGAAGAAATGCACAGGTTTGTTATCCATCCTGTTCTCTTAGACTGTTTCCTACAAATGACAATAGTTATGATCGCAAAATCAGCCTTCAAAAATACTATCGGATTTCCTTCTGGAATAGGCAGCCTTGTGATTGTTCGACCCTTGGAAGAGGAAATGATGCTATATATGAAGATCAGCAAAGTTGCTGACAACTACTTAGAGTTTTGTGGATGCTTCACAGATAAACATGGCTCTGTCTTGGTTGAGATGAAGCATGTTCAGATAACTTTTGTGAAGGAAACTTCCATGAGAGAAAATGGTTTATTATTTCAAAGTAAATGGAAGGAGATTAACCTCTCCCAGAACTCAAGAGAAGCACCTATTGTTGCAGTGTTTGCTGATAAAATTGGAGTATCTCAGCAGCTCAAAAAACATTTGCATAAAAATTCTAGGTTTTTAATGTATGAAGACTGGGAAAAATTGCTGGAATCCAGGAGCCCAGAATCAGCTGCACAGGACAAAGTTAAGTTAGAGGTGATGAACTACAGTGATGTTTTGTTTATGTGGGGAATTCAAAGACTGACTGAAGAAAACTCAGATGTTGTTGCAAGTTTAGCAAAGTGCTGTGAAGCTTTCCGACAACTGGTTATTACTTTGAAAGAAAGGAACAGTCGTTGCTCCATCACAATAATCACGTACAGGACAACAGACAGGAGCGTGGACCACATCAACCCTGGCTTTGCCTTGTATGGCATGGCCCGGGCCTGCATGCTTGAAGCTACTAACATCACTTTTCAGATGATTGATACCAGCTCAACAAGTGCCATGGACATCCTGGCCTTAGCAGATGTTTTGGTTGGGTATGATGCTCTACTTTATCCTGAAGTCTGGATTAATCAGGGGAGAATTTACACTTCTGAAGTCAGGCAGACGCAGACTGACAGTATATGTTCCAGTGTAACTTCTCAGATCTCTCAGGTCTCTGAACTGTTTGCTGTTTATACTTCCGAGCCTTATGAAGTACAAGATTTGTTTGCTGAGCTGGTTGATGATATCAATACTCCTCTTGATAACTACAGTGTAGAAGTGCAAATTGAAAAAATAAGTATTCATTCTGAAGACTATTTTTCCATTAGCCTTTCCAGTTGGAACTTTGGAAACACATTATATTGGAATTCACAGACAATTGGCAAATACAGGCTCTTGGCTCTGGATTGTAGTGGGACTGTAATTGCAACAGGTTGTAAAGTAAAAAAGTTCAGTGTGGGAGACCGCATTGTTTCATGCTACCCAGTCGTTGCAGCTTCAAGACTCAAGCTCCCAGAGTCAGTCTGCCTTAACACACAGAAATTTCCATGCTTTGAAAAAGTACCATATGTATCCTTTTTCAGGATCGCATGGGAAATTTTGCATCAGACTTTACCAAAGATGAAACAGAATGAATGTTTAGGTATCATTTCTACTCATCCAGAATCAGTTTTGTGCAAAGTGCTTGCACACTCAGCTCATGAAGGAGGCTGCAAAACTAAAATTGCAATACTTGACGAAAGCCTGGAAGAATGTGTAGCTCACTGCAGTAGCCTTGTTTTCCTGCCTCCTCTGGAAAGAATACCCAAGGATGTTTTAGCACGACTTTCGCATCTCCAGCATGTAGTGGTAATACTTGGCAATTGCAATTCTGAATGCCTGAGCTCTCTCCTTGGAAATGGCCCTGAACATTTTCAAATTCATGTTCTAAATCTTGCCACCATTTTTCAGAAAGCATCTCTGAAGCAGTCCCACAAACTTTTCTCAAGATGGATGAAATCAGTGCAGCTCAAGCAGTTTAAGAATGTACCTTGTTTGCCCTTTCAGCAGAGACAGAATGATGCAATGTCATCCTATTTTACCTGCAAGTCTGTCCCATTTGTTGCCCTGAAAGGTGGCAAGCATGACAGCTGTATTTCGGATATTGCAGTGTACAAGGCAAAGAAACTGTTCAAGCAAAAAGCTGTTTACATTGTCACTGGGGGGCTAACAGGGCTTGGCTTTGAAACTGTGAAATTTATTGCTCAGAATGGAGGGGGCTGCATTGTCATTCTTTCCCGGAGAAAGCCTAATGCTGAAATGCAAAAAGAGATTTGTAATGTGCAGAATCAGAATAAACAGAGCATGATAGTCAGTGTGCAGTGCAATGTAATCTCTAAGTCTGATGTTGAGAATTCTATCAAGTCAATCAGCAAAACCTTTCCAAAGTGCCCAATCAAAGGTATATTCCACAGTGCTGTGGTTTTCCATGATGCAACCATTGAAGCCTTGAATCGTGCTACATTTGAGGAAGTCTTAAGCGCAAAGGTTGCTGGAGCCCTCAATCTTCACCATGCTACTCAAGGGCTGAATCTTGACTATTTTGTATGCTATTCATCAGTTTCTTCCTTTCTTGGAAATGCAATGCAAGCAAACTATGCTGCTGCCAATTCCTTCTTGGAACATTTCTGCCATTACAGGAGAAACTGTGGACTGGCAGGACAATCCATCAGTTGGGGTGCCTTGAATCTTGGAGTACTGCAAAATCAAAGTGGCATTCAAAATCTTTTGGAATCAAAGGGCATAGCAATTCTGCAGGTGAATGAAATTCATGAGTATCTTAAAACAAGCCTGACTCTGAATAATCCACAGCAAGTTGTGGTCAAGCTCAACATTAAATCTTTGATCACTCATTACTTTTCTCGAAATCCAGCACTGAGGAGTCGCATGCGTCCAGTCCTTGACGAAGCCATAGGACATGGTCTTGAACTGCCTGTAAATAATGTAAGCAATGATTTGGATCCCATAAAAGCAGACGACTATGTCATGTCATTGGTGAGCGAACTCAGTGGTGCAGACTCAAGTGATATTGCCATGAACAAACCCCTTGTATCTCTCGGCATAGATTCTATGTTAGCTATGACTATACAGAATCGCATTTTTCAGGAGCAAAATATTGATGTACCACTTGTAAAATTACTTGATCCCGAGACTACAGTTCTGAGTTTAGCATCCCTTTTAGAAGAATCTTTTGAAGAGAGACCACCCAAGAGGAAATCCTTAAAAGAACCTCCTCAAAAAGACCATAAGGAGAGACAGAATACTGGAGGAGATAAATGGAGTACATATTTGTAGTTACTATGTGGACCACCTGTGCCATTTTGAGAACTCTAAAGTATAGCAATGTGTGTGTAACTAATTTGCTAAGTTAAATAGTTGGAACTTGTGATGCTGGCAAAGTTCTGCTGAACTAGGCTCACAGAGAAACATAATGGGTGCACAAATGGCCATCTGCAATGAGAAACCCTGAATTCCTTTCCAATTAGAAATCAGAGAAGAATTCCTGACTTCCCTCCTACTTCCACCAACTCTGTACCGCCCCAGAGTCTTCCCTGGCAGCTCTATATCCTCCAATTTATTTTGGAATGACAAGTCTTATAAGGAGAATTATTAAGATTTCAAACACTGATGATCTTACTGGTTTTTAAAAATAATGCATTGATTCTATAATATGGTAAGATACCTCTTGGAATACATTTCCAGGTAATGGGGATCATCTCCAACTGAGTAACAAGCCTCCTTCTCTTCCTCCTTATCTGTGATGTGGTCCTGAGCACACATGGGAGAAATTCATGTTAAATCATTGAGAATTATTTTCAAGTAAATAAATTTAGTATCGGACTAAATTTTTGTCCAACTTAAAATGTAACTGAAATTACTGTTACTGGATTGAAAAGATACCTAAATATTAAGTTTGATACAGATGCATTTAGTACAGTAATCAGTACAGAATAATAAAGTTCATTGTATATATTCATTTTTAATGCAGAGATATAAGTAATATACTACAAAAATAACTAAACTTGAAAGTCATTACAATTCTATGTAACCAATGCTTTTGTTAAACTTATAAATGTGAAATGTTGCTTTATTTGTTTGAAAGATACCTGGTTTTCAGGCAAATATTAATAGAAACAAATTTCCAGCCATGATCCAGCTTTTATTATGTTTAAGCTTTCAGTGCAATGTAAACCTACTCCAATCCAACAAACATTTATATTACTTACACAGAATGGGACTTACTCCAACTAAAAATACATACAACTTGACTGTATGTGTTATACTTCTTCTGAAACTAATGAGATTAAAGATGATCTTTAATATCCAGATCCTTATGAATAACAGATTATAGTAATACAATATATAATTTTGAATACATAAGCTCAGATTTTTTTGATACTTAATTGTTTTACAACACATCCCTCCTCTACTTTTTGTAACAAGAAAAATGCTTCTACCAGAAGAAAATTAAGACCCTTTCCATTTGGCTCTCCTCCTTCCATGACTGTGTCCTGCAGTTTTCATTCTACATTATTAAGTGACATCATAATGTAACAGTGGAAATTTGTTGATCTTCCATGTTCTCTGTGCCTTGCCCCTTTTGTATCTTGTCTTTTGTACTATAAGACATTTTTAAATTGTAAGCTGCCTCAAATGTGTTGACAGGAAGCCTTTTCCTGAAAGTGATGAGTAATAAATATATGAAAAATAGTTAAAAGCATTCTCTTCCTCTGACACTCTATATCTATAGACAGAGCTGTAGTTAGATAAATAAGTAGATATACAGATCTAGGGGACAATCCAGTTGGGATACTCAGAACCCTCTGGGCTTGGAGGATTATGTGCATGCTGCGCAGGGGTGCCGCGGAACTGTTTGCCTGCACGTTCCTCCTGCCCTGCAAGATGCTCAGGCAGCCAGTTCTCTGGAGCTGGGACTGTGGTGGCCTCTGGAAAAATCCCGTGGTCTTCAGGATGCTGCTGAGTGGCCCCAGGATTATGTTTCTCAGTAGATATCTAGAATTAGATATCTCCAGGGGTCAAGCTGTTGTGAGCTAAGCATCCCCTCCCAAACAAGACAAGCACTTCAGCAATTATTGAAAGAGTCTTTATTCCATACAGCAACAATGTATTTACAAGCCTTGAAACTCGCACTGCAGCTGGAAAGTTGACCGCTCGCTCTGACCATATCCACCCAAAGCTCTGTTTTTGAACCCTTTGGGGCCAGTCCCTGGAGAGGGGCATGCTATGAAAACGGGCAGGCTGACTCTCTTCCCATCGAGCCCCTAATTGGTCCAGCCGGTGAGTGCGTCGATGGGCCCTTGCATCCATGTCTCCAGGGGTGTCAAGTTCTCCTCCCGAGAACCCTTCCCCAGCCTGTTCTCCGCCGGCTTCTTTCCCACAGTGAGGAGTGGGAGGGGGCTCAGTGGTTGTCCTTGAGGTGCTTTGATCCAGAGCTGGCTCGGGCTGGCTTACCAGGAGAGTATGGGCCACCGGGGCCTCGCTAGTCTCAGTGTCAGAGTGAGAACTCTGAGCCACAGCTGGTTCAGCTATCCACTCCCCCTCCTCCAAGTTTAAGCCACCATTCCCACCAAAGCCCCCCGTCTCTTGTGCGCACCTGGGAATTTCATCTGAGCAAGCGCGCACAACAGCTCGGGACTGTCCACAAGCCCCATCCTCACTTGCCCCACTGCTGCATCCACAATGCAAAGCCTTCCCTCAAACCCAGCCTATCTACATTCCAAGGGGAACAGCTGACACATGCTCCCTCCAAAACGTCATTCCCAGCATGACACTTTGCTCCATCCCTGACATAAGTGCCCATGTGCCCAGGCAAGGTGCACATGGAAAAGGACGTGGATATCAACTACCAAACACCCAGCCTTTTTTTCCAAAGCACTGCCGCCCCCCAAGCTCCTCCTCAGTAGTTCTCCCTGGAGAGAACCTGATCTGCTACCAAGTCGCTCTGATGCTTCCACAATGGAGGAAGATGTGTTTTGCTGCAGCTGCCTCTTTCTTGTGGGTGATGGGGGAGAAGGGGTGGGGGACAGGAAGTTCCAAGTGGTTTATGGACAACCAAAGGAAGCAAAATTGCTCTAGAGAACAAATTACGAGATTAGAAAGGACAACCGAATAGAGGCAGAGCTTGTAGCTCTACCTTCCACCAAAGAGACAAATTCCAAGTCAGGTCAGCCACACATTTCAAACACATCAAGTTGTTCGACAGATTTAACAGATTTAACTTTGGACACTGGTCTACCAGAAGAGCTATTTTTCTATCACTTAGTTCACTTCTCCCATGCCAAAGTCATATGACTGATTTAATTGCTGCAGAATATGTATGAGAGGATGCAAACAAATTGTACTGTCTTTCAGCCATTCTACCATCCCCTCTATGCTGTTTAAAATGACATTTTTTCTCTCTGCTTTTCAACTATGCCCACTGCATATCTTCTGAGATGAAAAAAGATTTGCTATCTTTGGAATAGCTCCTCAAGCAGACACTCCTGCCTTACACTACAGCCAGGATGCCATTTGATAAAAACCACAGCAATGTAGCACCTTCAGCATCCTTGACAAGACACTGCCCAAACAATTAAACTGAGATTATGCAAGAAAGAATTGGCACAAATGAAGCTCTAGAAACAGGACTAATTAACTCTTTCGAAGCTATACCAAACTGCGAACAAGAAGAAATACTGAGATGACTAGATGAATTGAACCAAACACTGCTGCTGACTTGAGCAACAGCCGAACCTTTAATTGACTTAATATCTTTGGATCACCAATCTGACAGCAACTCTGCAGAAAGCCATTATAAATTTTCTGAGCCCTGTAATCAAACAACTTCACAAGAAAATAATCTGCACTCTAGCAAGCTATCATGTGCTTCTATCCTAAAACAGCCCATACTGATCCCATTCTATCCTGTTCCAGATAATGACAATTTGTTTCAGCCTGTATTATCTGAGGACCTAGTCCAGAAAAGCAGACAAAGGGAAGTTGCTGTATCAAGAGCACATTCTAACCAAAATCTCCAGCCATGCTCAGAGACAGCAAGCAAACTGGCAGCCTAAGGTTGCTGCCTACAAATGACACTACATTAGGTCTGTATGGTGGGATATCAATTTTGATTTCAGCTGACTTTAAAGGATCCATATGACAAAGGGATTGGTCACACAGTGATTATATCCAGGTAGTCCAGATAGATAGTAAATATCTTGGGCTAATGCTTTGCATCAATGTCTGTCTTCCAACAGGACAGAATCCAAATCTGTGGTTCACTGTCTGGTTCTCTCTGCAAATCCTTCTGGAGAAAGCTGAACATAGAAACAGCCAGTCAGAAGAAGTCTCCCCGGCCATCTAGTCTGACCCCCCAGCTCCAGCCAGCTCCATTCATGACACGCCTACCATGTGCATGTCTAGCCTATCCTTGAACACCATCACCTATGGAGCTTCAACCGCAAACATTACCAAATGCAAATATCCTACTTGCTGGTGATTTCAGCACCCGAATTGGCAAAGATATTAGCTGCTATGTTAGGGAGACACAGTTTATCCCTGAGGATGCCCTGGCCCTCCATGGACAAATTATTAAATAAACAAGGGGTGGCCCTACTGAGCCTGACTTTTAAGTATGGGCTGTGCAGTCTCCATGGCTCCAACTTTAACAGATATAATAGGCATTATACTTTTCTAAGCTCATCTGGAGCTAGTGTCATTGACTACATCTTGAGCTCTCTTGCACTTCTTTCTCAGGTTAGCTGCTTTGGTGTCCATAATAGAACAGAGAGTGATCACCGACCTTTGGTTTTGACCTCTTTTGGCTTATAAGGTCCCTCCTCCTGCGAGGTACCAGCATCTCAAGGATATCACACAGGTCAAATATCATTTCAGACAGTGCCCTAACCTCAGTGAGAAAATCATTGCTTTTTTAAATGCTCTCCAGATGCTGGTTCAAAGGCATCTTGCATTACAGCCCGATTCCAACATATATTTTTAGTTCAGTTAATAGTGTGCTAAGCTCCCTGTTTGCTACCAACTGTCTTCCTAGAAGGAATAATACAAGAAAGGGATGACATGACCAAGATGGTAGGAATAAAAGACAAGATATAAGAGTTAGAGAGGAAAAGACAGATCCCCTGATTCAATTATTGATCCATTTTTGATCCTAATATAAGCAATTATTAACAAGAAGCTTTTTTACTATAGGGATCAATGGAGGGAAATTGCCCTTAGCCTAACTCGAAACAATGAGAGGAAATTTTGGGAATTGGTGGCTAATGGTATTTCCACACACCATGCCATGCCTCATGAATGTATTTCAGCACAAAGCTGATGATGTGGCTCTTATTTCTTGCACTAAGATTGGATGTAGACGATTACTGGCCAGATTAGCTGCTTACTGTGAAAGGGAAAAACCAAAGATAAACTGTAGTACAACTAAGTCATTTCTGGCAAAAGTAATAGCATTCACAGGTGGACAATTAATGCCCAACAAATAAAGCAATGTTCCTCTTTTGAGGTACTTGGGTATCACTTTTCACAAATCCCTTTCATGGAAAGCACACCTATCTACTGTTTTGACAACCGCTGAGGGTACAGTAGGTGCTATTTAGGCATTCTTTTATTCTAAACGAAGGCAATTGGTCACCCCTGCACTTAAAATATTCCAAGGCAAGGTGATAGCCCAAATGCCATTTGGGGCTTAGATGAGCATCTTGGGCCTTTGCCAGGGCACTTCTGCTGCCTACTTAAGGATGGAAGTAAGGCTACTTTCCTTCACTGTTAGAATACACTTATAATGCTCTACCAGAGCATTATAAGAAACTGGAAAGCCTTCAAGAATCCCATCTTGCCAAACTCTGTTTTCTCCATTATGCAGCCAGAAATCAATGGACCAAACTTCTGTATCCCATTCCCTATCATCCTTGGGAGAACTTAGATCTTGGGATAGAACAAATAGTGGGGATTGGCTTTTTGAAAAACATGCTAATAAAGAAGCCACTGTAGTTAAATCATCCAAATTTTCATTTTGGTATCACCAGTATAGAAAACATAGAAGTCTTTTGCAGTATCTGGTTAACATAGCCAGCACCCCACTGAAAGAGGCATCCCTTCACCTGCAGACAATGGCTTCTGCAGATCTTGAAGGGAGATTTTGTAAACTCCCTGTTGAACGCCTCTCTCCATAATCTATTATGCCCTCCACTGCCCGATTTACAATTATGTACACAGGGCCAATGTACAAAAGGCAGAAGTACTTAAGGGCTCTAACCTTGAAAAATTGATCTACCATATTGCAGACGTGTTTCCAGCTGTTAGCAACCAAGTTGCCACTTTTGCAACTTAGAAATTCTTAAACACGTAGTTGTAGCTTTGGCCCTGTTTCATTGTAACATCATATATACAATATTTTAATTGCTTTATAATTTTACTATTTGATTGTTTTATTATTATTATCATTTTATGGTATCTCAAGATTTGTTTACAATCTGGCCTGTGGTTACCACAATAAACCTATCTATTCCATACGCAAGTGCATTGCTTTACTTTTATTCCTTTGGGACTGTGGCTGCTGAGGGCAAAAGAGAAAAAAAATCCAGCTTTGGGCACCAGTAGCGACATGAGAAGGCCTTGAAAACTTGGAGGGGCATCGTGGCATTGTTAGCCCCAGATCCCTTTGCACCTTATTGGTGGTCCCCAGCAAAGGAGTGGGAGGGATACAACTCTGCCTGCTGAGCATCTTCCTGGGACGTTCCATCCCCCACTTTGGGCAACAAAGCTGACATTACATTGGCTCCCTCATCACCACAGAGTTTTCAGGCACATGAGAGGAAAAAATGCTCCCAACAGGTTGGTTGGAAATGGCACTTGGTGCTTGATGGGCAGAACACTGCAGCAGTTGGAGGGGGAAAGATGCGTAGTTTGTCCTATAAGCTGTTCTCAGAAGACAGTGCTGGGCCTCTGGCAACCGGGGAGGGGGCCTGGAGCTTTTATCCTATGCAGGCTACTAAGGAATTAACTTGTCTGAACTGAACAAGCCCTGTTTTTGCTCTCAAATGTAAGCTGATTTTGTTTAATGCAACTTGCTGTCTGCTGAGCCAGAAGAGAAATGCAACCCCATCTTGAATTCACACCTTCCGTTATAACTTGAAGAGGAAGTTCCAATAAACAGCTCTGCAACCTCCATTTTTAAATGATACTTTAGTGCAAAAACGTGTTCCGAATATCTCAAGAGCTTGTTCTGTAGAATACCGACCCCTCTACATGAGGTTTTTAACTCCACTCTTTATCGAGCTTTGTCCTGCCAGGTTCTTTGTGGGGTTAAGATTGTTTCCTGCACAGATATTTCTTTACATGTTTTCTTGCTTTGTGTTGTCATATGTTCCATTAAACACCAGCAGCCATTCCAGCATGTGACAGAATCTCGGTTTTGAATTTGTGAGGAAGAAATAGAAACTTGGTCCGTGGGAAAGAGCAAACGTTTGAACCTCTGCCGCTTTATTGACCGGTACCCCAGTACCTGCAGTCACTAACAATAATGCATTATCGGGCAGAGGTAAACTCAACTGTAAAATCTCAGCCCATGTACAGACACTTTTATAACTTGCTAGTCATGTACACCAATACAGAGTGTTAAGTTTCCAGATAATCTTAGTACAATAGCATCCTGATGTCTTTCGGCATGACATGATGTTCTAAACCGATCAGAAATACTAGTAACAATACTATGGAAAACATTACTAATTGCTATATTGATAGGTCAGTCTAGCAAATTCTTGACAGTTTAGGTCAGTCGGGTCTGTCTGTTTAAACATGCAAATATGTCTGATGGATGAGCCTTTCAGGAAGTCTGGTTTGACAACTAAACACAGCAGGAGCTTGCCTCTGTTTAGGTGGGCCAATTCAGAAACAAATGAAAAGCATTATTTCAGTTTTTCTGTAGCTGATAAGAGCACAGGTGCTTCTCAGTCTCGCCAAGAATGTCATCTTCTTAAGGCAACAGCAATGCGAAACAATGACCTGGCTTGGAAGGCTGGTGTTTTGTGAGAAAGAGGTGCAGGTTTGATTTTATAAAACAAAGGCACATACAAGCAACGTTTTTCTGCCAGGATTTATCTAAATTTTCCCAACACCAGTTGTATGGAGGGAGGTGTAATGGAAGGCACGGCCATTTTCCCAGCTCTATTATTTTTTCCTCTTCCTTGTTCCTCTTTCAGTGGTAAGCCTCCAAGCAGGGTTCCTGAACTGATTAAAGAAACCGTGTGCAAAGTCTTTTTGTTTGAGGAGAAAGATGAGAATATATTAACTAAATATTCATAACCCTACTTATCCTTTTGGCTTAATTACAAGAATGCAGATTGATTTATCTTGGAGGAAACTGCTTTTTCCAAAGAAATGCATTGACTTAAAAATACATTTCCAGATCAAGATTAAGTTAAGTTGACTCATGCTTCCCAAAGCCAAGTGAGTGACTGTGCAGAGACGCACCCTTCTTTTGTAATGCACAGGCAGTACTGTACATGCTCAGACTTGAAATACCAAACAGCTACAACTACAACAAAGCATGAACCTAGTATAGGACTCTACTTCCACCCTCTAACACCACCTCTGGTCAAGGAGCAGCTGGGAGGTCGATTCCTATGTTGCAGAGACATGTACGCACTTGGCACTACCCTCGGCCACTCCTATTTGTCACCTCCAG